GCTACGTTGGGGACTCTTCAAACAGCCTCCAGATCCTTTGTTGTTTTCGCTGCGCAGGCTGGACACAGGGACTCGTCCGCTAAGTGCTTTTTATGGAGTCAGAGGGGAAGGGCAAGCCGCCAGACGTCCAGGCGGCACAATGGCCAGGGTGAAGGTTTGCTGGAGAGAGAGAGAGAGAGAGAGAGAGGAGGGGGGGAAAACGCGTTGACTTTAATCCTCCAGTTTCTGCTTTTTCTCTCCGCAGATAACAAGGCCCAGCCATGCAGTCCTTTCGCGAAAGGTGTGGTTTCCATGGCAACCAGCAGAACTACCAGCCGACTTCTTCGCAAGATTCATCACGCCTGGAGAATTACAGGCATCAAAGCCCAGCCTGCGAACGTCAGAGGCTGGTGACAAAAGAGTATTACAGCCCCCAGCAGCCGCCTCCTCCGCTGCCCCCGTTGCCGTACCAAGCCTTTGGTGAAAACAGCGCCGTGGAGAAGTACCATCGGGGAAGCAATAAGCCGTTACGCGGCCAGCAGCTGCCCAGCAGGCCGGCTTCCTTCCCCAATTACTCCATCCAAGAGAATAGTCCCTACCCTTCACGCTACGCCGGAGAGGACGGCCTGCAGGGATGGGTGTCCCCGCAGCAGCAGCCGCCTCCACAGCCTTTACCTGGCGGGGTGGCCAAGTACGAGGATAATCTGATGAAAAAGACGGCCACCCCATCAAGTAGCAGGCAGTACCATGAACAGACACCCCAGCTGCCCTTCCGAAGCCACGCCTTGCACCTCCAGCAGCAGCCGGGACCCCAGCCCTCTCCCCTGACGTACCCCAAACTCCCCAGGCAGAAGATGCAAAATGAGGTGTCCTCCTCGCTCTCCTTCTCGCAGGGATCCCACTTTCCGCAGCATTCCCAGTCCTTCTCGGCTTCCTCCACGTACACGTCGGTCCAGAGCGGGGGGCAGACAGCTCATTCCTACAAAAGTTGCAACCCTCCCCCTGCCCCACCCACGCACGAAAGGGGTCTGGGCAGTGCCGCTAACTTGCCCGCCGCACAACGGGTCCAGGGTTTACACAGCTACCAGCCCAACCGAATCAGCTACGAGCAGCCGCCACAGCAGCCACCGCCGCCGCCGCCGCCACCACCACCTCCGCCCTCTTTGCAAGGTAGACACCATGCTCAGGAGGCACTGCACTATCAAAGCCTAGCAAAATACCAACATTATAACCAGCCAGGACAGAGTTACTGCCAAGCTGACGCTCCGGTGAGGACACCGGACCAGTATTACCAAACGTTTAGCCCCAGCTCGAGTCACTCTCCAGCTCGTTCCGTTGGGAGGTCCCCGTCGTATAGTTCAACGCCTTCTCCGTTGATGCCTAACTTAGAGAACTTCCAATACAGCCAGCAGTCCCTGACCGCTGGGACATTTCCAGCCAACCTGGCTGACCATAGCCACTTCATGCCTTTGCTGAACCCGTCGCCAACCGACGGGGCGAGCTCTGACGCCCAGCCACCTGCCAACTGCAAGAGCCTGTCAAAGGAGAAGATCCCCGAGAACCTCTTATCGGATCTGAGTCTCCAAAGCCTGACAGCCCTTACCTCTCAAGTGGAAAACATCTCCAACACTGTCCAGCAGCTTCTCCTTTCCAAGTCCACGGGGATGCCACAGAAGAAGGGGATCAAAAATTCACCCAGGACCCCAGAGCAACTCAAGGGACAGCACTGCAGCCCCGAGGGCAACAATTATCCTGCAGAGCAAGCGGGGACTCCACACTCTGACCCCCTCAGCACCCCGCAGTCGGTCCACGCTGAAACCCAAGAGACCGATTACCTGAGTGGCTCCGAAGACCAGCTGGAGAGGGGCTTCCTGTACTGCAGTCAAAGCCGTAGCCCAGCTCGGGTCAACAGCAATGCCAAACCCAAGCCCGAATCTGTGTCCACCTGCTCGGTGACGTCTCCGGATGACATGTCGACCAAGTCCGATGATTCCTTCCAAAGCATTCACCCCAGCCTGCCCTTGGAGAGCTTTACGAAGTTTGTGTCTGGTGAAAGAGACTGCCCCCGGTTGCTCCTCAGTGCTCTCTCTCAGGAGGAGCTGGCCTCTGAAATTATTGGTCTTCAGGATGCTATTAACGAGAAAGCAGACAAAGGCTGGGCCAACTCCCCTGCTCCAAGCAAAGACCCAGACAAATCTCCTTTCCACTTGGAGAACCACAGGACTTGCCTTGACTCTGTGGTCAAAAGCCCCTGGTCCAACCAGGGGGACTCCAACGCTCTTGCTGAGCCCCTGAAGTTAGACAAAGGACTGGGGCGTAACAATGGGAAAAACTTCACTGAGGAGGTTTATGACACCTCCCAGGTTTCCTTCACCACAACCGAGACGAAGAATTCCCTCAAAACCACCAGCTCCGTAGGCTACAATGCCAAGCCGAGCATCTCGGTGGCCACCTCCAGTTCGGAGACCCCTGGAGGCTTCAGCTGCTATTCCAACGCCACTTCCAACTCAGTCAGTTCCGAAAGTGCCATGGAGAACTTTGAGTGGCCAGATGAGAACCTCAGCGACACCTGGAAAGAGCTCGGCTCAAGCCTTCAATCCTCAGATCTTTCCAAGAGTTTGTTCTCTGGCAAACTGAGCGAGACCTCTGAGGAGAAAAAAAATGCTTCCTGCATGAGTCTCTGTGGTCCCGAAGGGTCCAATGAAGGCGAGGGAATCACGGGCTTCGGTCAACAGCAGCAGGCCAGCAAAGAAGAAGGCTTAAATTACAACGAGGCCACGAGGACAGAGAGCGAGCGATGGCTGGAGGACACTGCCAGGAACTCCTGTTCGGGAGAAGATTTCAGCGAACTCCCCATGATGTCTTCTCCAGATTTGAAAGAATCTGATTTGGAACCTGAAGAATATTCCTCTTTGTGTGAGTTAGCTGGCTCTGAGCAAAAGACATTGACTTACGATGCCTTCACCCCTAAGCCTGCAGAGAACGCTCCGGTTCTTTCTCTCCAAGATACCCCAGGATCAGCGGAAGAAGCCACCAACACCGTTGAGAAAGAGAACACCGCTCCTCCTTCTCATTTGTCTGATCCATCCGTTCTCCTTTTGGGACCCTCAGTTGGCACAGACACCAAAGTGAAAAGCTGGTTCGAAACTTCTCTGCATCACTTGGAGTCCAAGGAAGAGTCAGCAGCTGGTGAAAACGTCCCTCAAGATAAGACCGAGACGTCAACTACTTTGCTGTTGAAGAAACCAGTCCTACCAGACAAGTTGACCATAACCTCAGAACCCACCTCTAGAGGTAAAAGTCTTCGGAGTAAAAAGCTGCAGTGTAGGCTGTCGAGTGGAGAGGAACTTATTCAATCCATGTCAAATCCATGTTCAGGTATTCAAGCAGCTGGCCTTGTGGCCAATACATGCTTGGCTCCCAACAACTTGATTGAAATGCCCAGTAAGAACACGCATGGCCAGACTCCCAGGTTCCCCACGGAGGGCTTGCCGGCCAGAATGTGTACCCGTTCCTTTTCTGCAATGACCGAGCCACGAATGCCAGACCCTCTGGAAGGTGCCAAAGCTTCAACTCCTCACGAGAAGTTGGCGGGCAAGAAGTCCATGTGTGTTTTGAAAGAGAGAGTGTCCTTCAAAGCTAGGAAGGCCAATGGGAAGGCGTCGCCAAAGCTCTGCAATCCGTCTCCTCCCCTGATCTCCAACTTGACCCAGAATGAAGACTCTGCTGTCTCCAAGGCCAAAGAAGGCGACATTGTAGAAACCGAGATGAAAGATCAACAATCCATGATTCTCCGTTCCAGGACCCGGACTCAGGAGGTCTTCTACACCAAGCGAAGGAGAGAGAAAAACATGGTGGAAGTGGACTTCAAAAACGCCAAACTGCCCCGGAAGGTCTTCCCCAACAACCTTCTGCCGGGGTCTTTCAGGATCAGCTCTGAGAAGGAGAGCAAGCTGGGCAAGCAGATGAAAGCTAGGCCAGAAATGGCCGGCAAGATCTCCGAGAGGCCGCTCCACGCCTTGAAAAGAAAGTCTGTTTTCCTGCCCCCGATTCCGGCGAAGAAACGGAACCTGATCCTCCG